ACTATGGTGTTTTAGTTCTTTGACATGCCATTTTAAATATTCCCAAAACCTTGTTATGCCTTTAAAGTTCTGCATTCATTGATTCATGAATTTTAACATTTTTATTTGTGATCAGTTTGAACAAATTCATCTTACTTGCATAATCCAGATTCAACGGCAAGTGTAAAGATTGTTTTATATAATATATCCTAAAATTGTACTGTGTTCTCATTAAACTCTTTCACTAAAATAAAAAAAAAATGCTTTCAAAATTTGATTTAGGACAATCATCTTTTAAATCTTCTTTTAGAATAATTAATATTAATCCACTGGATGAAACAAACCCTTAATTTTAAAAGCCACTCGGTAGCTAATAAAACAAAATCATTTTAAATTTAAAACATCATTTCAAAGAATACTTTAAAAATAGTTATTCTACATTGGGGTAAACAATTAATTTTCCCAAGCGGCCACATGAGAAATTGGTACTGTTGTGGAGTTCCACCATTGCTGCTCCGCCATCCCACTGCCACTTCTTCTTCAGAGCTGAAGAAGCTTCTTGGATGAGAAGCGAAATGTCTTCAAAGAAAAACCAGAAATTTCAGTTGCTTCTTGAAAAAGCACCTTTGGGACAACCATGCCCTGGATGACTGAGAATCTCCATAGACATAGGATATGGATGGTCAAATTAACAACATTAAACTATACTGGACTTATGTACCACAACATCCATATTTTCCATCAGTGAGTTCAACAAAGTGCTTTTTCAAAACCCAGAGCTCTATTATGTTTTCTGTATTAGAGGCTACAAGGTATAGTTGGAAGATGTTCTGGCAGAAGTATAATTCTGATTTTTACCTGTATGATAAATTTGTTCTCTGGGATTATCTTAGCATAAAAAATAACTGCAAATATTTGGGCAGGGAGTCATTCCAGAAGAGGCATTTTTTCCTCAGTTCCTCCTTAGGTGGCAACTTTCTTCTAATCTCTCCCTTTATTTATACTTCCTCTTTTCTACTGGAGTGAACCAGTGGAATCCAGGAAAAGAGCCCGATTTAATGGTTAAGATCCCAGTTGCAACATAAGAGAATGCTACACCAAGTATGATTGATTATAAAAACTGTAATTAAAAAACAAACAAACTTGAAATTAAGGTTTTACTAAAAGGGGCTGAACCTGAAATCAACGTTGATTTTGTATTATGGCTGTAAAAACAAAAAACCAAGATAATCATTATGTATGACAGTGGAGAGGTACACAAATATGAACCCACTGCTGCTATGCAATGGCTACCCAGATTATTGCAGACTACTTTATGCCACCCACACAGTGACTTGCTCTCCTGAACGATGATTTAAAAGTTGTGAAGAAGGATTATTCCAGGTTGGATTTGGGATTAGCAAATGTTTTGCATATTAGAAACAAATACTTCTTCCACTCTCTAACAATAAATAGCTAAAGCATGGAGTAATCAGTTGAAGCCCATGACAATATCTTTTTGAAGGTGTTACAGAACTGATGGGATTTGGCTTGCTTCAGTTAAGCCACCATGGCTTGGTGTAATTAGTATGTCAGAGTGTTTGCAGTGTGACTACTATTATGAGACAATCCAAGAGCAAAACACAGCACACAAAGACTTAGACATTTAACAGTGGTTTATCAACAAAACATATACAGAAATATACATGATAGGCAAATACCTTGCAATCAATCTTAACTTTACACTGAGAACTCTGCAATAGAGACAGGACACAAGGAGAGAGAATAGACCCTGTAATGGTTGCCTTTATATAAACACCTCTTAAAGGGGTAGAACCCATCCCCAGTCTTAAAGAGGCAGTACCAATGCTGATTCATCTTCAATTGCATCAGCCCTATTATTGCATCCGCTTCACTGCTGGTCGACTCTTAAATCCCAAGATCTTAATATAGTATGGGTTATATCCAATCAGTTCCATGAATAGAACAGGCCACACTGATGGATCACTGGCCTTCTAGAGCTGATCTAGGGAAGCTCAGGAAAATACAAATAGAAGGAAGTAAGGAAAAGTCTATTAGTGGTAGAATTCATTCTGATGGAACTCTAAACAGGCAACATGGTATACTCCATACAAAATTAAGCAAACAGAGAATATTAATAGCAAAGTTTTTCTGATGGTAACCTTTGTTTATTAAAACATGTACTTTCTACGTAGGAAAGCTTAGTGAATATCCAAAGCTTAGTGAATAATACAATATGCATGAATTCAAATTTAGACTTTGTTAAAAAAGTCTCTCCAATTAAACATCTATCCCTTGTTAAAAATAACAAACAAACCTCAATACAGAATGGAGGAAAAGTATTTCAAGGAAGGATACTATAAAACTCATTTACTTTATATAGAACACAGTCTTAAACACCAATTCAGAAGAGAGTGTGCATGCTGAGCTTCAAAACCGAAATATGAAAAACGATGCACACAAGGGATCATTCACAACCTCATTTACAGCTCTTAATCAGAAGACTCAGTTGCAGCTGCTGGAAAACATCCACAATAAGCAAACATTACAAAACATTGTTTATATTACCTGGTCTCCACTCTACCCTGGATAACTTCATTTTCAGCCCACAGCAAATGCTGTAACTCCACCACTGTGCCCTTGATTAAGGCAGGACAGATGTTTTCGTGTCATGATGGGGACCACCCAAGGAATTCCCCCCACCTCCATATTGCAAAGTCATATTTTCATCTGTTAAAATAAGTGGGGTGCCCATGAAGCCACACTTCAGGATATCATCTACTAAGAATTAAAACTGTTAAAATAGACTAGCATCAAATTATAAAAATGAAGCATCAAGGAAACATGCACAATTAAAAGCTATGCCATTATGCCTTTGGTGACAATTCTACATATGGGAGTAAATCCCATACATGGGAGTAAATCTAATGAACTCAATCCGAATAGAGCTGGAAGGGATCTTGGAGGTTTTCTAGTCCAGCCCTTGCTCAAGCAGGAGATCTTATACCATTTCAGACAAGTGGCTGTCCAGTCTCTTCTTAAAATCTCCAGTAATGAAGCACCTACAACTTCTGAAGACAAGCTATTCCACTGGTTAATTGTCCTCCCTGTTAGGAAGTTTCTCCTGAATTCCAGGTTGCTTCCCTCTTTGATTAGTTTCCACCCACTGCCCTCTGGTGTTTTGGAAAATAAGTTAACCCCACCTTCTCAAATACTGGAATACTGCTATCATGTTCCCTCTAACCTTCTTTTCTCCAGACTAGCCAAACACAAATCCTGCAACCATTCTTCATTGGTTTTAACCACCAGGCCTTTAATCGTCTTAATTGCTCTTCTTTGCATTTTTTCTAAAATCTCAGTATCTTTTTTGTAATGTGGTGACCAAAACCAGATACAGTATTCCAGGTGTGTGGCCTTACTAAGGCTTTATAAAGCAGTTCTAATATTTCTTGTGATTATGATTCTATGTCTCTGTTTATACAATCAAGGATTGTATTAGCTTTTTTGTCTGCTGTTGCATGCTTCTAGCTCATGTTGAAGTGATTGTCCACTAGGAGTCCAAGGTCCTTCTTGAGCTTTTAGTCTAGATAATCAATATCCCATTTCCAAAAGGCTGTTATCAAAACTGTATGCTTTTTGAGAGATACTTCTCATTTCTAAAAGCAGCCTAACATGAAAAACAAATATGACATGAAACTCTACTGCATGGGAAAAACCATCATATTTGAAAACAATGTAGATATGGATAGGGTAACTTGTTTCATTCCTACAGATGCATGCACTTTCCTCTAGTGTAATGTGAGAATGTACACGTGCACTGATGCATTTTGCTTCTGAAAACATAGAAGCCTGGATGCAAAAGAAATATTTCTACCTGGAAATTATTCTGAAGTATATCAAGAAAGCAGAGGATAGGTGCACAGCTGATACTTACAATGGTATTTAGAGGAATGGTCAACCTGTAGGAGTTGCCACTGATATCCCCCATAATGCCCCTCTTGTTTGGAAACAGAGACATTTGGCTCAACTTTCTTGAAGAGAGAATGTTATGCAAATTCAGTATGAGAATTATTATGTTCTTCTATCTAACCCAATTACAAATAAAAGGAAAAAAGTGTATGTGGGGGGAAGTGTATTAAACAGAGAGAGGAAGGGGGAGAGAAAGGAACAGAGAGGAATGGTCTTCTGGATATATAAGCTGTATATCTAATGTATCCACTTCCATATTATATAGCTAATCAATTTATGTAAGCCACCTAGAGTTGGTTTTGGTGAGATGGACAGCATAGAAGTTTGATAAATACATAATAATATAATAGACTTAACTATAGCAAAGAATCAATGTTTATAGCATACCTGACAGTGTTATCTCCCCATTCTCATCTCATTTTTAATTGGAGAACCAAGGCTGATCCCTAGCTCATAACTCCTAGGAATCCAGAGTGAATCAGTGATAATGCTTCCCTCAACCACACTATCAGAAAGAAATTTAGAATTATTAGATATATTCAGAGAATGAAGTATCTGCATTGCAGCTGCATTTGTAATCTTCTTATCTGGTGCAAACTCCTACTGAACCATTCCGGTCATTTAAATTATGTCCAAATAAAGGTCACTTTAAAAAAAAGGATTGTACAACAGTCTACAAGCAACTACGACATTCTCTCTTATCAGTCCACTTTTTGTAAACCTACAATCTTAGGCCTCCATTTGAGAATCACTCCCTCTTAAATCTAAAAAATGTGTCCACATCGAGTGGACAGGCAGTCAAAAGTGTCTATAGGCAATTCACTTAATTTCTCATTAAGAGCAGAACATAAAAGCAGAATTATACTTGGCAAAAAGAGGCAAATTATATGTCATGGTGATTAGAAGAGACACAACAGTCTTCATTCTTCTTCAATCATACCTTCCAAGAATATTGGGATTTCAAATTTTTGGCCATACTGTCCAGAAATTAAAAAGCTGAAATCCAATAATCTGGATACCAGATTCTGGGCTGATTTAATCTAAGATACTATTAATCTATTTGACTATAGAAAATTGTTGTTCACCTACAGATATTACTGGCATACTTTAAACAGGGCTAACAAATCTAGGGTATCAGGGATTCTTTTCAGCTCTAGACTCAAAGAAAACCATAACACTACCAAATATTTTTCATGGACCTATTCACAGCCAGTACCCAGATGACACTGAAATTTTGCATTCTACTATATAAAGTTAGTACTAGGTACAAAGGTATTATTTTAAACACTGGGGAAGAAAATATCTTCTATCTAAAATTTTAAGCTTCAGATTTTTTGGAAGAGTGAAATTCTATGGATGATATCTTTAACAAAAATTAAACTGTATTCATTATTAAAGGAATGTTTGTACAGGCAGCTGAAAGACTGGCAGTGCCAGGATCTAAATTTTCTGTCCATTAGCCAGATAAGGTTAATGTAGCCGAGTGGAATTGCTTGCTTTTATTTATTTATTTATTTATTGTGGGGTTTTTTCACTTTTTTTCTATGTTGTGTATGTGTTTGTTCGTTACTTTAGTTGTATATTCAACAAAGTTTTTTTTAAAAAAAGGTTAATGTAGTCATAATGTTTTGTTGAATATTTTAATCCCAACCTGAGAAATCACATCATCTATCGGAAAGAATCAATTTTTATATTAGCTTAACTATTGGCCTCGCTGGAGAAGAGCCTGCCAAATTGTAACTGTAATGAACCAGTTTCCAAATGAACCAATTTGTGATATGGACCATATACAAGTCTTAGTGGAACTATGATTTGCCAATAAATTCCAAAGCTTGCTTGATCTTTCCAGGTTGTGATTATGACATTAGCTGAACAAAGCATTCTTCTGAACAAAAAAATGAAAAAAATGTTTTCAATATGCATAAGCTACTGGAGCTTGTGATAAATATATATTTTTCTGAATATTTTATGACTGTAAACTACTTGGGAGCCTTTTTGATTATTGAAGATGGTGTATACAATAATTTTTTGGGATATATAATTATACTGAATAAAGGAAAAACAACAGCATTGGGAAAAAGGAAACAACAGGGATTTGTTTCACTGAATGAACATCACAGTCAAATACGCTTAAGCTTTTCTTGAGAAATTTGCTGTTTTATATATACCATTCTCTTCAAGGCCAGGTTACGTTTAGTTTCATCTACAGATTTGCATTAGTGGTCTCTGGATAATTCTTTGATAATGTCCCAAAATACATGATAAGCTTAATTCAGTTTTCCTTATCGTTGAAAAGGAACATCATTTGCTTCCATCTTCCACCAGCTACAAAATTGGAACGAAAGAAATTATTTGGTGATTGAATTACGAAATGCTCTGAATTTATGAAAATAATAGGAAAATATCAAGTCAGAATTTAAATTTAAATTTAATCTTAGAAGCACAAAAGGTATTTATAATATAGTATCTTCATTTTAAAACTTTAAACTGATTTATTTCCCAATCACTGACTTTATAAAACTGACTCTTGTGTAATGGAAACCCAGCTAACACATATCTCCCCATTACATTCTGTCCCTTAATACAGATGATATTGATTACAAAAATAACACTCTAGATGTTTCCGACTATAAATTCCATGGTATGTAATTACTGGGATGCTGCTTAGGGATTGCAGAACTGTCACTCAAAACGCCTGAAAGATACTAGAGAAATTTCAGCACAGTTCAAGTTACTCATCACAGATTATACTATAACATAGACTGATATTTTTTTCCCTGAAAAATGCCCAATGCTTTAAACTGAATTGGGATTCAGTATGTATTTAATAAATATAATTAATGTGTGTATTTTTTTTAGATTCTGCAAAAATTTCAAAATCGAAGTTGTTTTACTTGCCCAGAGGTTTTGATCAAGTTAAAGGGAAGAATCAAGAAATTACATCTAACTCATATTCAAAATGCATTTGTAAAGACATTTTTCAGAATATATGCAAATACTTTTAAAACCTGCAATTCTGCATTTATTCACTTTTTTATATTTTAATATAAATATAGAAAAATAGGAAAAATATATTCATTTTGGAAATTCCAAACAGTTAAATTCTAGGTACATATATATAAATCTAATTCAACTGTTCTTCACATTTCCTGCTTTCTTGTCTTCTACAAATGAGAAGACTTTAATAGGCTAGGAACAAAGGGAAACATCACAAGTTCTAGTTAACTAGATTTTGGCATTATTGTTTATGTGCCATCAAGCTGAATCTTATCAAATCTTAACTGCACAGATTGGTTCCCCCCTCCCCATGATAATCTTTTCCTGTGTCTTCCTCTTGCATATATAACAATGAAAAAGCTTTAAGGCACTTCTGATTATAGAAATAAGTAAAGTTGCACTTGAGTGTCAAATAAAAATGTATCTTTAGGTCTCATGATTTTCAAGAAGTTCTGGGAGCGCCATCACTTGAGATTTTCATGAGGAGATTGGACTGCCACCTGTCAGAAATGGTATAAGGTCTCCCACTTGGGCGGGGGGTTGGACTAGATGACCTACAAGATGACCCCTTCCAACTCTGATTATCTGTTAATCAATGTTCCCGAACTTCAAGCTTTTCGGGAATTAAGTACAGGTATTCCTCCGACTTATGACCACAATTGACCCCTAAATTTATGTTGATAAGTGAGAAATTTGTTAAGTGAGTTTTGCCCCATTTTGTGACTTTTCCTGCCACATTTGTTAAATGAATCACTGCAGTTATTAAGTTAGGAACATGGCTGTTAAGTGAATCTGGCTTCCCCATTGACTTTGCTTGTCAGAAGGTCACAAAAGAGGATCACTGGGACAGTGCAACTGTCATAAATGTGCACCAGTTCTCAAGCATCCGGATCACGTGACCGTGGTGTTGGTGCCATGTTCGTAAGTGGGAAAAATGGTCAAAAATCACTTTTTTCAATTCTGCTAATTCTTTGATTGTTTCCTTGTTAAAATTTACTGGCTTCTAACATTTCAGAAGCCGATACGTTTGCATATTAAGTTGCATTTACATGTAGAACAGAGTTAGTATTATGGCAATTAGCACAGGATAGTTTATATTTTATTGTACTTTACATACCTGATACAGATAAGAAATAAGAATTCTAGCTTCATTTACTTATATATGTCCTCATTCCTAGCTGTATTCAATATGCTCAGGATATAAATGTTTAAACATGCACATATACATTTAGAACATTTATGTAATTGTTTTAAAAAATTATATGAGCCCATCCTAAACGATATGCCTGGAATAAGTTGAATTTGCCCATCCAAAGAAGATTTTCAGATAAGAAAGAAAGAAAAGAAGATCCTTTCCAGCAACAAGCATTTTTTTTACCTTGGAGGAAGAAAAAAGTCTTCTACAGAAGTCATAAGGTTTGGCAAGGATAAAGAAATATTTTGATAAACCATTAATTATATGAAAAGCAAAACCTTTGGATGTAGTTCAAAAAAACAATTACTCCCATCTGATCCCACTAAATCTGCAGAAAGTGCTACAGATTTTAAAGTAGCATGAAGAAGTATTTCACACACTAAAGAACTTCTCTGGAAGCTATGCAGGACAACAGATAACAGAAACACCCAATCTGATGAATAGAAACAGATAGCCAGAGATGGGATTTATGAAAGAACAAGGTGATAAGACGAACTTCAAACTTCAGGATATGGCAGAAGACAAAAATAATAATATTTATTGTGACCCACTTTTGGATTAATTTACTGCAGAAAGAAAGCAGAAAGAAAGTCTTCAAACTCCAATGATAAAAAGTTGGGTTCAATAATCAAATCCTTGCCTCTTGTTAAATAATATGAAACCAGCGTTAAATTTATTTCTTAACCAGCTGAAAGATAGAAATAAAAGAGGAACTAAACCAATGTCATGAGCCATATAGCAAAAGTTCTCCAGAACTGGATTAATTCCCAGAATGGATGGAATTGAGAAGTTGCGGTAAATAATGGCTAAAAAAGAAAGTGAAAAAAATATTCATTAAGAATTATCACAGAGACTAAAGCTTCCTTGGGATATATGTGATGTAAAATATTGAATTGTATATGCCCACCCAATTGTATAATCTTATTCAGCTGAAGCAAAAAGGAAATCAGTTATTAGGTAAATTACAGTTTCTGGCACCCAAATTTGCAGAGGGAAGAAGAATCAAAAGATCCAATTGATTTTGTCATACAAAAAAACAAATGTAACTCATGTCATAAGTATTAAATTTCACAGATAGAAAGCTCAATATACTTTCCTTTTATTTGAAATATTTTTTTTGTTTATAATAGAATAACAGAGTTGGATGGGACCTTGGAGGTCTTCTAGTCCAACTCCCTGCTTAGGCAGAAACCGTATTTTATCAGTACTTCTATATGCATGTGATAGATGGATGCACTAAGTCATAACTTCTCCACCCGGGAAGTTTGATCAGGTTTTATTATATTTTATCCATCTCTAGCTTCTCCATTAACTCACAATTTATCAACATAGTAATAGAAAACTTGACAGAAAGGTATTTTGTTCTCTTTTTATACTGTGATGCAATCTGTAATAATGTTAGGCATACAGTTTATCCTTATATTATTTTCTTTAGAAGAGCAGTTGTATCATGATGTTGTCATTATTCTATTTTTTAAAAAATAAACTGGATTTATTTAAGAACATATAGGTGAGACCTAACTTTCTTATCAATAATGAATTTTTTAAAAATATCGTAATTATAACTTAGGTGTAGTTCATATTGTTGTTTCAATCCATGGGAATTTCAACATGCTTTTCAAAAGTGGCTTTACAAAGAACACATGACAAACCCTCTCAACTGACACATGACAAACACATGACAAGGTTTTTCAAACTGAAGTCTTTCTTGCTGGTACAATAAAATGCTTAGTTAACTTCAGTGGCCTGACTTCTTCTGCCTACTACTGAGTACCAAGTTCAAGCATGAATACAAATATTCATTATAAATATACACTTTCTGAAATTTTATTTTGTCAGACTCTGTACCCTGCTCTCTTTAAAATCTGGGGCTCATCTGACATTTTAATCATGCATTTCTCTTGGATGTATTTCTGTAACATCTATATCTACATTATTATAATTAAGCAAGAATGGGTAACAAAATGGGAACTAGATCTGTAGTATACAACTTTTAATAAAAATTAATTAAACATTGCAGCTAGAACTACATCTCAGTTCAGAGTAATGTTATTAATGGTCTTTTTTAATTCAACCCCATATTATACAGAATATCAATGATATTAATGACGGGCCAATGAAACAAATTGTAGAATTTTGTAAGATAAAATATTTCCCCAACCTGTTCTTTCAGGTTTTTAGTAGCATTACAGCTATTTCTCGACTTACAATCACAATTGGGATCAGAATTTCAGTCACTAAGCAATGCAGATGTTAAGGGAGTAATCACATGACCAGATCTGGCTTCACACAATGTGTAAACCTGATCATTGTGAACATAGTTTCTCCCGAGGTCAGGCTGGTCCCAACCCTATTGGCTTTCCAGAAGGCCCTTTAAAGCATAGCTTTGTCAAGTAGCTTGGAAATCCCATGACAAAGCAGAACCTGACAGATGGTAGTATGACAGTTAATGGAATAAACGGAATAAACACCCTGTATGTATGTTTTCCTGCCATTTTGTTTTTTTATTTTTAATTTAAATTGATACTTTTACTGGGTTGTTATATATTTCTATTATTACTATGAATACATCCCAGAGTCACTATATGAGATGGACGATATAAAAATGTGAGTAAACAAACAAATAAATGTGTCCAGAGGACAAAAGC